AAAATATAAGAAACTAAAGAAAAACAAGAAATACGAGCTTTGCCAATCAACACCAAGACTAATGTCACCATCTATTAATCAAATTTATAAACAATATAGTTGAGGTTAATGGGTTGATCAGAAAGAAGTTTAGCCTCTAATTAGATTTTGAAAAGCCCAATATATTTTGGAGTGAGTTGAAGAAAGAAACCCTGGAAGGCTTCAGATTGGGCCTCAGCAAGTGGAATATGTCTCCTTATCCCTCCAAATCAAACAAGGTGTATTTTTGTGCATCTATTGTCCTAAGATTCCATGACGTGAATTCATTTCCTTATCATCTACACTTTATGTATGCATAAAATCCATACTAAGAGACTCACCCACTAAAATTAAGTATATGAAATAGGTTGATCCGAATTAGTCAAGACTAAACCCTAAAAAATCAATAGGACAACCAATATATATATATATAATGTTTATTTTTCTTGAAAAAAAAATCTGAATCCGGGTTCAAGTCAGGCCTAATTAACTCACTCAAATTATTTGTTTTAAAATTAAAATAAACAAAAATTAATTTTATATTAATACTTATACTTTTTTATAATTAAATTAAAAATATTTTTAGATACTTTTAAATTATATTTGGATCGAATGAGCAAGCAACCCAACACATGAATAGATCCAATTCAAAAGGTTTAAGTTGACAAAACAATTTTATGGATAAAATTATCTAAAAAATAATACTCACGTATGAATATTACTTTATTGGTAATATATCAAATGAGATAATCTATAGCGTAAGATTACTCCACCCACGCCCACCCTTAATGAGTTTGGCAAAAAAGTGAAAATGAAATAAAAATGAAAATATAATTTATTCTAATACATTACATAATAAAATTGAAATATAAAATGAATTATTTTAATCATGTTTAATATTGCAAACATGCGCACTTAATCTCTATCATTTTGTTTCATTTTATTATTCCAATTTAAAATATTTGTTCATTTTGTATTAGATTAGAAAATGATTTTTTTTATCAAGCACACCGACTTTTTTTATTTCAAAATTTTCAATTTTTTACTGAACCAAACTGACCATAATTATAGGTCTTCGGGTCCAAAACAGACAAATTAAAGAATGAGTAATAAACATCAAAGTCTGGACAAAAAACAATTTTTCGCTCGAATAATTTAAAACTTTTTTTGACTCGTTTCGACTTGATCCAACTGTCACACCAATTTGACTGCCTGCGACATATACCGTATTTAGTTATTTTCATCAAATAAAAACAATGGGGAACATTCTTCAAAGATGTTAGTTCTTCCGAATTTCTTAATGTCTAAATGGAATATACTTCAAAACGACAGTCACGCAAAACTCATAAGGAGTCTATATCAAGCCTTTGCAAGGTATAAATTTGATAAAATGTGTAGAGTGTAGACACATAAATCATACCGAAGAAAGACTATGGCCACTGGAGATCAATTCTCTCAGGTCATTTTCTAACTGGCTATCAGATGGAGTTTCCACACTGCAATTTGAACTGGTGAGTTAAGAAGACTTCCTTTGCTTTCCCCAAAGTGCCCCTCCAGAACTGCCAGAATTAACAATCACTAATAAAGAAAAATCCTCAACGCAAGGCCACGATGCCCTACGACATAAGGCTCAAATAAAATGGTGTTAAAGCCTCATAAGTTTAAGCTGTATTCCTAAAGTTTTTGCCAAAAGCTGGCCCACTGAAAAGAAATTCGGCATTGGCCTCTTCTACTGGCCTTTAATCAGAAGCCTAAAACCAGAACATGATTTGTTATTGAAGCTATAAACATTAACAATTTAGTTACCGAAATAAGGGCTATGTTATCATACACATTATATACGTAAATACAATAGTAAAAACATGCGTCACCAAAGTATAACTAAAAGGGCATATATAAATATACAATGGTATAAAAGTGAAGAGAGATCGATCCTCATGATACCAAATCCACTAGCCTATTGTCTGGTACTATCTGAAAGGTTAAAAAATAAATAATGCGCTAAAAAGCACAGTGTGCTCATTGTTGTGTATAAAAACATACAAATGAAATACTTCGGTAAAAGTTGATTTATAAAATAGGTTTTGAAAACAAGAACACTACCCCATCCAATCACTAGAATGTGTAGGTTCCCTTCAACCATACACCCACCTATACACTTGGTAAGGACCTTATATTGATAAGGACTTATCCAATGCACAAAGTAGAGGAGCCTGCGGTTAAGTCTTACAAGTCATAGACTAGGCCCGATATACTTCCTCCAATCATACCCCAATGATAGTAAATGTGCATGTATTTGAGTGAAAACAGTAGTTTAATTTATTAAAACATTAAGACATGTCATATTCCAGAATCAGATACGGAAATACGAAAACCAGAAATCATGTCAAAAATATACGATAAATCAAATATCATGCAGTCTGAATATTTAATATAATCAAAATTTTAAAACAATTTAGACAGATTGTTCAACACAGTACTGTAACACCAATAGGAACACACCTGTATCAGAATGAGAAGTCAGATACAATAGCCTATTCTCGAGTCTGCCTATCACGATTGATGGCAATGCTAAATCCAACGAATCGAAGGAACTATATCAAAATTCTAACATAATAAATAATAAACTTTAATTCAACTATTTATAGAAAACCTATGAGTAGCTCTCGAAGAACATGGACTGTACAAATTTGATGGACGGAGAGCGTCGAACCTAGTTGGCCCTCGGTCAGGAAAATCACGAGTACCTTCATAAAAATATAATCTCATATCAATTCCATAATCAAATCCTAGATAACTATACAGAAATGCTAAAAATATTAAGCGTTTTCGATTGGCGGGCTCAATTCGGAGCTTTCGGATCAGAATTTGATAAAAAATTCCCGTAAAATCTGACTCAACACGATGAAAAACGTCAAGAGGAAGGTTTTCAAAAAAGTCATCATTGGTTAACGATCAAAGACAAGGTTTCAAAAAAAGTCATCATCGATCAATGATCAAAGCCAACGTCGGTCAACGGTTTGGTTCTGCTAGACCAGTTCGGTCCAGTTTGAAAATGGATCGGTCTGGTTGGATCAGTTTGGATTTGGGCCAAATAGGTCTGATCGGGCAATCGGTTCAGGTATGGGTTAACAGGTCGAATCGATAAACGATCCACCAGGAGGTGGACAAACCCCACTCGCAGGGGCAACACGTTGGAGGCGCGTGCGGGGTCTTCAGGCATCGAAAAGATTACGAAAAAATTCTAAAATTGTTTTAAAGCGTTTTAAGGTACTTACCTAACTCGATTCACAACGGTGAAAGGACGAGAGTCCGATTACGCTTCATCGAAAAATTAATTCGCCTCACCCCTCCACATGTCGATGACAGAGACAACAAAATGACTAATGTTGAACTCATAACGATGCAAGGATTTTAGATTTGAGGTTTATAAACCTATAAAAAGAAAAATGGTAAAATCATGACATTGGTCTTCTAATTTTTGAAACTTTTAAATTTAGACCCAAATTAAATAAAATTTTTATTTTGGTCTTTAAATTTTACTGAATTTTCAATTTAATCTCTGGAATAAAATTAAGAAAATTTTAGCCCTGAAATTGAGATGTGACATATGATTTTAAATTTGAGCATCGGAAATACCAATGTATGAATATTTAATATCAAATTATTAAAAAATATTTTTAAATAAATATTATCTTAAATTAATAAAAAAATATGTACTTAGCCGGTAGTGAAGGCATTCGGTGGTAATCATTATCATGTCAAAACTTTGAATAGTTTTCTTTAGTTGCAGTTTTAAAGGAAAAATATTATCTTCGACACGCGTATCGTAATATATATTTGAAATGATATTTGAAATTTTAATGTGATCTTTATATCTTGAAAAAAATGTTTATTATAATTTTTATACTTTAAAAATATTTAGTATGATGCTTGTATTGTTTTTTTTGTTGTCCGTTCCAATACTTTGTTGGGTGAGTTTTTCGATAAGAATTTTCAGCATATATAAGGATTCGAATGTAAAATATTGTTTAAGAATATTAAATTACTTACCACTTCAATCAATCTTTACTATCAAGATATTATTTTGATAAATGATATTACAAGATATTATTATGTGTAAATGGTGAAATTAATCCGTTCCAATACTTTGTTGGGTGAGTTTTTCGATAAGAATTTTCAGCATATATAAGGATTCTAATGTAAAATATTGTTTAAGAATATTAAATTACTTACCACTTCAATCAATCTTTACTATCAAGATATAATTTTGATAAATGCTATTACAAGATATTATTATGTGTAAATGGTGAAATTATAAAAAAATATTTGTATGGACACTTGAGAGGCGATAATATAATATGAGAAAATATTTTTTAGTTCTTAAACTTAGTATTTTTTTCAGTTTGATCCTTGAACATTTTTTTTAACTTTATGGGCATTGAATTTGGATTTTGGCTCGTTTCTGATCCTTTTAATGGCAGAACACGATATTAAAGTGCTTATCGAAGTAAAGTAAAAAATTGTAGAATTCTTTAACTAGTATGGACCATGGTAAAATCTATGCATTAAATTGAGAAAATTTGTGGATTTCGATGATTAACATGGATCAAAATAAAGTTTAAGGATTAAGTTAAGAAAGATTGACAAGTTCAATGACTAGAAAATTGTGGCCAATTGTATGCGACTATCTTTTTCCATAGATAATAAATGTTGTTTACATTTACAAGTATTGGGTTAAACAGTAATCTAATCCTACTGTGTCATATTTATATTTGCTGCTATGTACACATTATAGATTGTGAAATTCCATTCTGATAAACAAGGAACTTCCTTTTGTTAACCTGATTAAGAATTTTGATGATGACAGCAGCTGTTGAAGTCGAACAACCATCATCGAATAGGTATCCTGCTAGTTTTCTCGTGCCGCAAAGACAATTCGAGTACCGGATATTCGCTTCTTCCTTCCATGTGATGCAGAATCAACTAGGTCCATGTACACTAATAATTCGTGACTGTGCCGGCAGCTGCAGCCGCGGTTGCGGCAAATCGTTTTCTTCATCTGATTCAGCCTGGGAAAAACGAGGATCCTATAAAATAGTGCAAGTATGCCGGCGATCAGTTGCAGATTTTGCAGGTAGAAAAGCAAGAAGAAGCTGCACCTATCTAGCAATTTAAGTTGGGCAATCGAGTGCAATTATTAAGTTCGATGAAAGTGAATGTGTTCGAACCTGGTGCTGTTGACGACGACGGATAGCGGCAGTGAATGCCTTAGCCATGATACATATAGGGAATAGAATCGCAATGGTTTTTAACAATGCTAACTGCAATATAAAGTCAAAAACAAGTTGCGCTCATTGCTACCATTCTGCTCATTCTATAAATAGACTTCTAGTTTAATGTGTTCTTACAGTGAACGATGCCAAAGAATAGTCTCCGGTTTCACTGATCATGATCGGAAGAGCGTGTTGCATGACTAGAAGAACCGTAAACTGCAAATAAGAATGTTAAAACGGTGAAGCATTTTCACTAGCTAGAAAAGCAAGGGAACAACAAAATGAAAGGACAGGGCACAACACACAATCAAACATTGTCCAGATCAACTGGAATTCAACCATCTTTAGAGAAATTTTCAGTAAGTTCTCTTTTTAATCAATTTCATCGAATAAACGAAACATGTACAAGAGATATGAATCTTCAATTAGAACTAAATGTAGAGGAAGGGAGACATACGATTATAGCAACGACGCGACAACATATCACGCTTTGAGAACTGGGGGACAAGTAGACATCAAAATCATGCTCCAGAAAATCATGTTCGGTTGTGACTATAAAATGAGGACCTCGCAAGTCTCTCCCGGAAATCTCCCAATTCCCTCTGAGATGATATCAAAATTCTTTGTAGATGAGTTAGGAAACAACTACGATATACAGAAAAAAAGGATAGAATATAGCTAGAGAATGGATATACCTGAAGTTCAACGGATCACCTTCATAATGATATAAAGGAGGAGGTGCCATATAACCAGGCCTATATTGCTGCAATTGTGCAAATATTCCAACGAAAGAGAATCAAATTGGTTTCATTCAAAGTCATGGAAAGACAAGGGTGCATATGATAAACCGACAAGGTGACAAACACACAACGGTCGGACCTGCTGGCAAATCTCACAGATGATGTCCCCTTTTACATTGCACCACCTCTGGACGCATTTCCGGTGAGCATACTGCAACAATCAAGTTATAATAATCGTGTAAATTGCTGGTTAAATGTGTCCTAGTTTTCTCGATATGCATGTCTAATGGCTTTCGATCGAGGCATTTGGTTCTCTTCTCTAGGTAAAGGCTAAATTCTAGCTTACATTCAAGGTAACGTCAAGAATGCAATTCAAACTTATCAGTGAACAGACATTGCTCCTATGGTCTAAGAGTAATGACATTAATGTTCCAACTAAAAAGAACCAGTTGATGTACAACTGACCTTCAAGCTGCCGCAACAAGAACACGGTGTCTCCATGTTCAAATGTTCGTCCTCGTCATGGCAAATCCGACACTCGACCAATTTACTCGGAGGCGAACCGACATCCCCTTCCATTCTATGAGCTGAATGTTCAATTATATTTATATCAGCTTTGGAAGCCTCAAGGTCGGATTAAGTTAGCAACTGGTCCACAAGCTTAAAATTAATAGCTGAAGATATCTGCAATGGAACCCAAACCCCTTTTACATTTCATGAACAAAAGAATTATGAAAAATGAAGATCCTATACAATTAAAACCGCCATATAAAAACAAAATTTGAAGGCTTTAAACGCTTCCATTTTAAATCAATTCACCAAATGTATTGCAAGAAAACGAAACATTCTAGAGAAGATAGAAAGCAAAAACAGGGCCTGAAAAGCTACAAGAAATGAGATGAAAATGGAGAAGAACAGAAACCCAGAAACCAAAAGGCAAAGAATTTGACTGAAAAAAGGGGAGAGAAAGAGACCCGTGTTCCAGAAAGGTGATATTTGAAATAGAAACAAAAACATGATGATTAACGTGGATAGATGCATTTAATTCAACCCAAAAGGGAAAAAGGAGGAGATGCTCACAGGTTACAGGTGAGAAGGAATGGGGTTTTCGATTAAAGAAGAAAGCAACAATCTTTGTTTATTAATCATAATAATATTATTCTGTTTGATTTCGTTTTTGAATTGTTTTACTTCCTGAGTTGTTGTTTCTTGAAATGAAGCAAGAGATTGAGTCGGGTTGCTTCAACAGAGAAACAAAGGAATAGGAGAACAAGATTCCAACGGCAAAAATGGCAAGACGGTTGCTTGTTAGAGGTTCTAATAATGGCTTATTTTTACACGGTTTTGCTAATAACCAAATCCAACTGCGATGAGCCTGACTCTGTGATGTTGTCAAAAAACCAAAGGATTATGTCATGGACGATGAAGGAAGAAAGATTCGGTACAACCTTCAGCTCGAAGTGGGTTCGGATGTCGGAGTGGCATTACATCGGGTCGGATAGATATAATTGAGAAAATTGATCGAAAATGTCTTATAATATATTATTTTAATCATTTTTTTGGATTTATGAAAATGATCAACAAATTCGCAACGCGAACTCCAATTTCACAACTCAGTTTCTAAATTCGCAACGCGAATATGTAAATCGCATTGCGATTTTCCGAATTCGCGTTGCGATTTTCTAAATTCGCAACGCGAATCTGTAAATCGCAATACAAAAGTCAAATTCGCAACTCGATTTCTGAATTCGCAACACGAATTTTAATTTCGCAACAGGTTTTATTTTCGCAACACAAATGTTTTGGGTATATAACTACGCAACAACATCAACTCATAACCTAAATCCCTAAATCGCAACTAATTCCATCTCCATCTATCACTCTCTCCGACGACATCCGTTCCTATATCCAACGACATCCTTCCCCATCTCTAATTTTGTTTTTTTACATAATTTTATTTCTATATAATTTTTCAATGATTTCTCTCTCAAATTATCAACTATCAACTTAATAAAGGTATGTTATTCTCTAAGTTAGTGATGATATGTAGTTTATAGCTCGTTTGTTTAGTAAATTAATTTATAATTTGTAGAATAAAATCATATAATGTTGATCATGTTTGGATAAATTTGTGTTTTGGAGGGTCATGGGAGAATGTTCATGGTATTTTACAATATATGTCTTTACCCATGAATCTTCAACTAAAACTGTCATTAAAAAAGTTAACTTATGAAACTCTAATGTTACGTGTTGCAAAGAAATTGAATTTAGAGCCTCTAAGTGGATTTAGGCTATCTTATCAGAGAAAAGGTAAAGTTTTTTTGTTAACCGACATGAAGATGTTGAACGATTCATTGCTTACATTAGTGTTTCGCAAGAAGATGATGTTACATTGTATGTTGTTTAACCTAAAAGTAGTGAAGTTGGGTTAGTAGCGGGTAGTAATCAACTAAGTTCTTCAACCCCAGTTTATGGTGCTCACAATGTACAACGTTTTTATCAACCACAAAATTTAATGGTTCCATCACAATTTCATCACCAAGAAAATTTTGTTTCACCACATTTTCAATACCAAACACAATCTCAAAACCCACAACCTTTTCCTAATCCAAATCCCAATCAACTTTCAGCACCAAATTCTGGTTTTCGTATTGACCAATTAGACGATTATGAGCCAACAGAAAAAATTGTGAGTACTAGTCAGTATTCGAAATTTGATCTTGGTCAATACCCGGACTTTGATCTTGGTCAATACCCAGATTTTGATGATGTTTCAGAAGAAGAAACAGACCATGCGTGTAATAATTTTGATATTGGTCAATACTCGAATTTTGATGATGAAACAACCACTGCCGAGGAAGATGTTGTTGATAATAATGAGGAGGAAGTTACGACTATGAATGAACATGTTGAACATCCATTCTGTAATTCATATAACCCTGAAGAAGAAAAAGAAGAAAAAGTAGTCCACGAAGAAAAGAAAAATAAGAAAATGCCACGGGAGTATAATTGGAATATGCCAGAATTACTTCAGATACCGGAAGAAGAGTTGGTAAAGATAGCAGTTAATTGTTACAAAAAAGTTATTCGTATCAAGAAAGATGATTGTTTTGATACAAATGAAGACTTGAAGATGGCTTTGTATACGAAATGTGTGGAAGATGTCTATCAACTAAAAATTAACAAATCAAGCAAAGATCGTTTCGAAACAAAGTGTATGATTGACAAAAACTGTACGTGGATTATGATTGCAAAGAGGATAAAAGATTGCGAAATGTTTCAAGTTAGGAATTTTATTGATAAACATACATGTTCAAGAACCCAAGTTTTTCCTCACTATAAACATGCAAACAAAAAGGTGTTGGGTGGTTTTCTAGCTGAGTTAATGTTTTTGAATGGCAGGGTATATCGGGGACATGAAATTATGAATGACACGAATGCTCGGTTCAAGATTAGTGTCTCATATTCTCAAGCTTGGAGAGCCAAATGTTATGCCTTGGAATTGTTAAGGGGGTCTCTAAAAGCATCGTTTGCCCAACTGACGGCTTATTGTCACAATTTAAAGCTGAAAAATCCTGGGTCGGTAACTCATATCAAAACAGATAGAGATGGACGCTTTGAGTTGCTGTTTATCGCATTGGTGCTGCGATTAGTAAATCAATATAATTTTGTTGACTCATTTTTGTTAGTTACATGCATTTCACATTTAAATGATTATATTTCTTGTGTATATTATTTTGTAGATTCGTTCGTTTATTACTTGTATGCGCCCAATTATTATAGTTGATGGAGCACATTTGAAAGGTCGATACCTTGGAGTAAACTTATTAGCAGTAGCCATGGATGCTAATAATGGGATACTGTCAATAGCTTACGGGGTTGGCAAATCTGAAATTTCTGATTCATGGACATGGTTTATAGGGCATCTTAGGGATTGCATAGGTCCTATTAGTAATCTGACAATCATATTCGATAGGGCAAACTCAATTGACAACGCTATTAGAAGGTGCTTCCCATATACTTTTCATGGACTTTGTGGTGTTCATTTGTACAGAAATCTAAAATCAAGGTCTGCTGGTATAAAAAATCACAAATGGACAAACTGGAATGCTGTAAAAGCTTATCGGGAAGTGGATTTTAATAAGCATATAAATTGTTTAAGACTTATTTTACCTTAATGTGCTCAAACACTAGAAGATATCGGGTTTGAAAGATGGTCAAGAGTACATCAACTTGGAGCAAGATATGGTTTCATGACGTCTAATAGTGCAGAATCAATCAATGCTCTAAGTAGTCATTCTCGGAAATTACCCATTACTATGTTAATGGAGTTTTTTCGAGCCTCTATTCAACAGTGGTACTACAAGAAAAGAAACAATACATGTATTATTTCTTTTAATTCGTAACTTATCATATTTATATATTTTACTAAGTATTATTTATTTAAATTTACAGGAACATTGGAACGTCAAGTTACACCATGGACTGAAAAAAGATAACGAAATGTGTTGTGAAGTCAACGTCATGGAGAGTTGAACCATATTCAAACACTTTGTTTGTAGTATTGGATAATAACTTAAATGTGCTTGTCGATCTAAATACAAAGACGTGTAGTTGTATGAAATGACAAACATCTGGTTATTCGTGTGGCCATGTTATAAAAGTTGCTATTCATCTAAACCAAGATGATTCAAGCGCATACGCTATGGATTGCTACACTACAAAAGTATATCGACAGACTTATGCCGAGATTGTCTACCCTATTCCACATCCTTCTGAGTGGGACATACCAGTCATGGACAGCAGACAACCTGGCCGACCAAAAAATCACGATCGTATACCATCTAAGGGTGAAGAGAAGAGGATATCGACATGTAGTCGGTGCAAGGAAAGTGGTCATACAAGGTTGACCTGTGGATTCTCAGTGCCATCACAATCATCTTTTCCTCTACCAAAATATGGATCCTCATCAAAATCCAAAGCTCATATGGTGCCAAGCAAAAGGAAATCAAAATTGCAATCAAAATCAAAATCCCAATCACAACCGGCTTCACCTTTTGAGACTTATTAACTTAGGTATTTTTAAATGCAAACATTGTATTATGTGTATTTTATGTGTGAATGCATACATTTTCAGTTAGACATTCATTAGTAACTTGAGTTTGAACATTGCTATGATCTGTTCAGTTGTTATCACTTATTAGATTGTTGTTTGTTATCTTTTTGAAGGTGTTTTCATTGAATTCGCAACGCGAAAGTCAAATTCACGTTGCGATTTTTTGTTGCGAAAGTCAAATTCGCGTTACGATTTTCGCGTTGCGATTGTTGCAAAAGTCGAAAATCAAATTCGCAACGCGCATTTGACTTTCGCATTACGAATTTTACTTTCGCGACACGAAAATCGCAACGCAAATTTGACTTTCGCAACCATCACAACGCAAAAATCGCAACACGAATTTGACTTTCGCGTTGCGAAAGTGTACCTTCAACATGTCTTTTTTGCCTTCAACATAATGCAGATTGAAATTTTCTTAAACAACAAATCAACTTTTACAAATCAATTAAACAAGAAAAAAATTCTTATTTACACATCTAAAAAAACAAGTCAACAACTGGTTGTTTATGCACAAATATATTAATTTCACGCAGCTCACTTCAGGATTAACCTGCAGAAACCAAACATTTGCTCAAACAACACTTTCTACACATCTAAAACCAACAAACAACAAATTATCTAGGTACTTAACCAAACATTTTCAAACCAACAAAGAGTATATATGTTAACAACACTTGCTCAAACTTACCAATTTGTGTTGTTTATGCACACTTTCAGCACGCGGATGCAGGTAGACAATATCTCGCATATATCACTCTGACCATAAAATGCCAAAACCACAACCCTACTGCACATCTATCTCTATCTATGGGAGGTAGAAACTGTTTACTTCCTATCGTCAAACGTTCCAAGCACATGCATACGAGATGACCACAATCCCCTCTGGCTCATTCCGTTAGTTGTGGTGCTGTCTCGTCTCTGATCATTGTAACTTTGAACTTTTTTGGCTTTTTGTTTCCAGAATTAGTCCAATAATCAATCGCATCCAAGTATTTAGCCAAATGAGTGCTCCATCCCTTACAAATAATATCTCTCAGATCAGACAATGATATGTAATTCAACATTATGTCATATACTATCGTCTTCAGGGATGAGAGCTGAAGCTCGACGAGAAGTCAATGACGACGTTCCATAACAAGGATAAACACCTGCAATCATAAATAATAACTCAATTGTGTACATCAAATAAAATTTATGAACACCTTTAAAATATTCAAAAATAAATACTAACATTATCGACCTCCCACCATGCAGGATAAAGTTTAGCTTTTCCATTACCCAACACATATGAAACGTCTCTCTGATCCTTCAAGTGAGCTACGTGAAAAGACGAAGGCATAATAGTCCATCGCGTATTTTTTATTTTCTT